CAAACACACACACACACACACACACACACACACACACACACACACACACACACACACACACACCTTAACATTATCAACATTGTTTAACTTTGTGTGTAGGGAAAAAATGCCAAGAACATTAGGCAGTAAAACTAAATAAATAATTGAAAGACAAAAAAAATCAGTTTTATCATAAAATAAAAAATAAAAAGTAAGTTGTATTGAGTATGACAGTTCTTGTTCATGCATACTTCAGTAGTTCATAATTTCCTATGCATGAGTTGTATTCATTCAGGCACTTAAACTATTTACAGAACAAGCTTTTTTAATCTCAGAACATGAATTATTTTTAACTTTTGTGATTAAAAACATTGATTTGAATCTCATTTTTGAAGCTGTTCTGTAAATAACATTCAAACAAACAATACATATAGAAACTTCTGATCAATCCATATCATTTTCAGACTTAAAACAATGTACAGATTTAAGCCCCGCCAACTTCCGGTTAAACCACACCTTCTTCCGATTTAGGCCACGCCCACTCAGAGTACAGATACAGATAATTTAGCTGGTTGAACAGGAACAGATAGTGGTGTCGAGTCCTTAGCTGTAAAATCTACTCGTTGGCTCTTGAATTCGATTTTCAGCTAACAAGCTGTAATCCTCTGAAGAGAAAAACAATCCTTCCTGGTTGGAATCAGGAAGTCGGAGTGTCTGCCAAAACTTTCCGGGTAAGTAAGTAAGACGAACAAGCTTTGGTTCCACCCTTCGGCAAAAAGCACGAGTCAGAGAATAAGGAAAAGTTAAGAGACTGCCAGGCGCCAGCCAAATCTACCAAGGTCATTGCTGCATACTTGAATAAACAACATATCATGATAACCTGCTTAAGTAAATCTCTGATGAGACTCTTTAAATGAAATCACTAAAAATATTTAATGGTTACATGTAACGTTTCTGTTTCATAATCAAATCTAAACCATTCATTAGTTTAGAAAAATTAAAGATTTTTTCAAGAAAAATCCACAATTATATTACTGTGTTTACAGTAAAATAATAACAGTGATTTGCATCAAACACAATAAAACATGTAATCACATTCTCTGTGGTTCTTTTATAAAACCATTATAAATCTTTAAGGCACAATGAGAGAACAGAAGTTGTTCTACTTCTGCAATGTGACAAGCATTATCTTTGATGTAACAAATGCATGAACATTTTTAGTTAAATGAAAAATGAATCACGAACAATGGGGATTATTCTGTCGTTATCTGATTAAGAGGAAGAGAAGTCTCTTCCATGGTTAGAATGACCTGTCATGGCCTAAATTAAGTTCAGAGTGGTACAGAGTTTCTGTCTTCTTTGAAGTCCTGTCCGAGGCCTGCTTCAGAGGCAGTAACTCTTGTTTTCTCACTTGAGGTGACCCCTACATACATATACTGTACACACACACACACACACACACACACACACCTAAATCCCTCGTACGCACAACTTAAGAACAAATCTGTGCGTACGAATGGTTCTTGCATGAGGCCCAATGTTCTTTAGGAGAACCGTTTTGGCCTGCACAGAGCAGGCAAGGTTGAAGAGGGTCAACCACAGCGTCGGTTTTACTGTGAGGTCAAAMGGGGTTCCCAGCAATCTTTTGCTGTAAAAATTATACAGCTCTATAAATGTAAAAATTATAATTTAAAACAGGTTAAAATTTTGTTCATTTCTAAGTGGAATAATTCTACTACACATCTGTGTGTGTAGGAGCACAGCGTGGAGAACGGTGGAGTCAGCCACGTGCTGTCAGTGTATGAGGACCTCAAACAGGGCCAGTCTCAGATCAGCCGGCTGGAGAGACAGGCCAGAGACTTCCTCAATGCWGTGTTCCACAGAAAAGGTAAGACAATCACCTTGTACTGTTCATTTCTAAAGTCCACCTGCTCACAAAATGGTGGCATATTGTAAATATTTTAATTCAGTTTAATTGACTTCAATCGGAATACATTACAAAAGTATTTAATGCACTCAGTGTATTTATTGGACTTACTACAACAGTGATGACAGAGATAGAAACTACAGAAAAGTTGGAGCTGTAGCCAGACTGAGGGGTATAAACAGAAGAGTGATGCAAAAATAGGTAAAGTTCAACTTAAAGGGATCCCCGATTAGTTGTAACATTAGACTTTAGACAACAGTTTAGCTTGTTTGTTGCACTAGCACRGAGCTAATACATATAAGGCAATATAGCGTCAGCACTAGCACAAAGGCTAACAGGCTAAGCTGAGGTTGTTCTTCCATGAAGCAGCTCTGTTGTCCTCCATCCATATTTTCAGTTCCAGGCTGAGTCATTTCTACCTTCTCCTCTCTGTCAACGCTCAAGAAGAACCTCAGCTTAGCCTGTTGGCCTTTGCACTAGCGTCGACACTATATTGCCTTGAATGTATTAGCTCTGTGCTAGTGCGACAAACAAGCTAAACTGAGGTCCTCCATCCATATTTTCAGTTCCAGGCTGAGTCATTTCTACCTTCTCCTCTCTGTCAACGCTCTCTGGTTTCATTTAAAAGAGCCAATTGTTAGTGATGTACAGATCGAACTGAAATATTGATAACACCAACACCAGAACTTTATGCTCTAGAAT